CACATTATGAAATGGGTTTTCAACCATTGTTCCGACAGATTACATGTATATTTGACTTATAATTAACAACTTTCAGTTCAACGTGTCGTTATTCATTACACAGAGTAAGTTCTATATTATTATACAAGTATGCAGAATCTCCAGTTTGATGTAATATTTTAAATGAGTCACATGCAGCATAAAAAGTCAGAAACAGGTCCATCAGGTTCAAGGGTTGAACTGAACTCTTGGTCAAATACAGTATGTATAAAATATGAACCAACCACAGACTCATAGACGTCAGCCTCTCTGAAATTTCTGTAGGGTGTTGCTAGGTATAGAAAGAGAAGCGTGACACGTGTGAACACACCCACACTGATGACATCAAAGTGTGATCACCATGAACATATTTTTATCTCAGAATGGGTTCACATTAATCTGAATGATCATGTTCTATTGAGAAGCAACCTGAACCTGAAGTCCTAACGACCACAGGCTCCTCCCAACGCTGCTGTTATAAACCAAGTGACACCAGAGTTCAGTATCTAAAATCAGATGACCACGTAGGTCCTACATCTGTGACTCGCCCTTCACGTCCCCATGGCTGGGTCCAGTTCTTAACTGTCTATCAAAGCTCTTTACATTATGATAATAACTGAGTCGAAACCGGAGACTTCAGTGATCCTTTTCATGACTACAATTACGAGTCCATCTTTCAAAAACAACTACACATCATCTGACCAGTCCACTTCTGATCAGAGTTGGCGAGGTGGTGCATTTGTCACTGACTGCACCACCAGGTGTCGGCAACATTTGTGGGAGGAAACACGTTTTCTTGTTTTTCTTCTAACCCACGCCTACACCCTGGCAGGGGAGCTACAGGCTAATTAACAGACTACTACTCTGCGGCTCTCTGGAGTCAAGTGTGTTTTTTCATGCACATGCGTGTGTGTGTGTGTTGTTAAAACTGGTTACAGCATCATCTGAGCTGCAAAGGTCCAACAACATGGAGCGAACACTCCTCAATCTGTTCACGCAAACCCACACATGCACTACTAACCTAGAGGTGTTGTAAGAAATGAAGGATTCATTTCACTTCAACTCAATGCACCTTCACTCTTTACCTGATGTGGATAAGAATCACTGGAGTGTTGCCCTTCCTACGTGTAAACCAAGGGCACACTCACACTAGGTCCAGTGGCTTCCTGCCCTGCTAAAGTGCCAATTGCCCTCACCTCCCCTGTAGCCCTTTGGCCCGCACTCCAAAAACCCCAAAAGATGGTGGCTGAAGGTTTGACCTTGTACTATATTTGGTGCACTGCAGCATGCAGCTCGGAGTCTAACCTAGAATTTACTGTTCAGGCACCAAAGTCGTGCTGTGATGCTGAAGAGGACAGTTTTATTTAAGGAAACAGGTCCCACCTCCCAGGTCCATTTCTCAATGTCAGTCCTTGAAAAATGGCTTCAAGTACACACACATACACACACACACACATATACACACCTTTTTGGATTAAGTATCCTTTATTCTTGTGAGTATCATACGAAAGACCCTCCCAACTAATTTGTACTCAAACCTTTTTCTAGGTTCAAATATGAGATTTATATTTAATTATGCCTTCAGGGATGACATTTAACATTTATTTACATTAATTTGTGTGTGTCAACCAGAGAGGATAGAAAGATTCTAGCACAGCACCATCAGCTAATCAACGGTGGTCACCAGTTGTTGATTCCTCAGATAACAGAAGAGGGCTTTCAATACAAAACCTTTGATACTGGATATATTGTAAAAAAGCAAGTATATTTATAAGGATATTTTTTACAGTCCAACTTTACAGCAGATGTATTAAAAGAATTTGGAAAAGGAAAAGAAAAAGAATAAAACAATCTGAACTTAGCTCAAACACTATTAGTAAGAAAATGAGTAAACAAAATAAACACAAGAAGATTGACTGAAACCTGTGGACAGCAAAGTTAGATGTTAAATGAATACATTTTGTTTTAGGAAGAAAATTAAAGACCAGGGAAAAGAAAGATGCCAAATCTTACGGAGGAAAATATTTCAACTCTGAAGGGGCCGGCGTCCTGGTGACAGTTGTTATGGCAACATGGGGACATACGCACGACACAGTGGGGGGTGATGATGTCTCAAGAGCAAAATTAACATGTGAGAAAAAAAACCCTCCAAAACATCTGAAAGTCCTGCTCTCCTACCAAGAACTTACATTCATTTCATAGTCAGAAAAGACTCAACAACAACAGCATTAAAACACCTTTCATCACATTATCTTATATAGAGTTGCCCATGTAAGATTGATATATATATACAAATATATATCTATAAATATCTTTGGTCACAAGTCCAAGTCAAGTTTCAAGTCTCTAAAATGTCTCCTCTTGGTGTAACGAGCCGTCTACAGTCTGCTGTTAACGATCTCTAATCTCTCCAAGGTGAACTCCCAAGAGATTCATAAAATGTATCTGATCTATCTAACTGTCTGTCTGTCTGCCTGTCTATCCATCACTGCGCAGCCGGCTGAAGGTGTGCCAGTCGCCATAGTGTTACTGTTACCTGAGAACGTGAGGTGCTAATCTGCATAATATGGTTCCCATGGTTACCAGGAGACTAAAAAGAAGGCAGCCTGTCAGAAGTTTCCTCAATGTTAATACGCTCAAATAGAAACTAAGATTGGTCACGAGTCCCAAAATCAGAGACCGAGTCAAGTCTGAAGTCTGTGTGTGACTTGAGCACTCCATCTCTGATATATACACACATAAATATATATACAAATATATAATTTGTTCAGACACATTCTTGCTAACTAATTTGTTAAAAACATACTTGTTTCTGTAGAAAGGACTCATGTACAGTCTTGCCTGCCTGAAATTTGAATGGAATGTTTTTATGCCGTTTGTTTAAACAATAAAAGTTAAATATTAGGTGAAAACCAAAGTATGCACTCCACCTGCATATAAAACAATAATTCGAAGATGACACAAATTATAATCTGCTGCGACCCAGTTACAACGATGGGTCAATTACACAACTGCTGTGACAAACATGTTTTATAATCTCAGGCAGGGAGCAGGAATAAGAATGAGGACCTGGACGTATGTTTTTGTGGAGAGACTAATGGTTCATCATCTCTCTCTCACTCTCTCTCTCACACACACACTCACTCACAGTATAAGCCTACTTATGGATGCAAAGGTGAATGTGTATTTCCCATCTTCACAGGTCTAGACAAGCAGCACAGACTCAGAGTGATAAACAGCTGACAGGTTTATATAAGCCCAGTTTCCACCACAGGAACTAAGGCCTTGAAAATAGGAAAATAGCCACTGCAGGAAGCTGTGCTAAATGGAAGTACTGGGTAGAGATGTGTTGAACCGTGAAAATAAAATTACAGATCTAGGTTTGTGTGGAAGTTGCATAACTAAACGTAATAACATTTATATAAAAAGTGAACCATAAAAAAAGGCCTTTGCTTATATTATAAAGTGCTTTAATGGAATTTGAATCATCTCTGTTCTTTACCTAAAAACAAGATGCCAATTTGTAATTTCCAATCCAGTTTAGAGGAAATCAAACAGTAAATAAAGAAAGTCTTTTATTATTATAATAATGTGGTCTTTTTTCTGAGCCTCCTTTAAGAGAGGACTCTTGTTAAGCCCCTTCCACCACAATGACACATCAACAGGTACTGATTGAATCTCCACTAATATTGTATACTGTAATTCCTACAAAACTGCCGACATCCCTGAACAAAGAAAATAAATTAACATATCAATTCTATTTCACCACTGCCAAGCAAAGAAAGATAAGACAATGAAAGGTATTTGCCTTGTTTCCACCTCAGCTTACTGTACTGTACTACGGTAGTATTTAAAAAAACTAAAAAAAGTCACAAGTCAAAAAAAGAGTAATAATGCTGGTGAAGAAAAAACAGAAATTTCAAACTACATTACAAGGCTATTTGATATTTTGGATTGAAATCTGTCACACTCTCTAAAAAAAATTGTAAAAGTGTGTCTTGGTTTCTAAAATCAACCCTAAATGTGTTTCTGATCATTTTTGACCATGTAGACAGTCGTTCTTTCTATCTGTCATCACAGATTGACAGTAGAGTGACCTCTTCCACATGTTTACCTTCACCAACTCCTAAGGATGCAGAACGTAAGTTCACAGTGTTCCATTTTACTCCTGTATTGTGCGGTGAGATTAGGCTCAGGAAAGTGATGTCAGAATGGGGCTGATTTGGTTTCAAATGTCATCATTCAGACCATGAAGTTTCGTTATGTAACATCCAATTTCATAAACTCTGACCAATAATACTCTGCCTCCTGATCACCAAATGTAACATGTGTAAAGGCAGATCAAAAGATCGAGGGCTTTTCCTTAGAGCAGAGAACTTTGATGACACTGAAAATGTTTTCCCTTAAGATAAAAACTTCATGAAAAAGTTCATATCTTAGATCGTGCCTCCTACAGCCAAAGACACAGCTAGAAACACATCTGCCCACGTACACACACACACACACACTCACATGTCTCTGCATCTAATATAACTAATAGATGATTCATTGGGTTATGCAACACACACTGGCAACAGAAGTAATGGTGAAAAGGAGAGGAGGAGGAGGAGGAGGAGGAGGAGGAGGAGGAGGAGGAGGAGGAGGGAGGGGTGGAAAATGACTAAATGACTTTAGGACATTTCTTGTTCTGTGATGGAGTCCTTAAAGATATATAGACTGCTGTCAGTGTGTTTACACGTTTGGCCAGTTTTATGTGATTCAACTATTTATTGGAGAATTCCTATGACTGGTGTAGAACCCAGTGGAAACAGTGACTGGTCTAGGTGGATGAAGGATGTTTATGTCACATGATCCACAGCAGACAGACCATGATTAGTTCAATAATCACGTAGATGGTAATAGACAGACAGACAGACAGATGGATAGATGAGGTGAAGAGATAGAATGATAAAGAGGAATTCTTTGGTCCTTGTGTGACTCACCGAGTATCCCCTCATCTTCATCATCGCCATCATTTTCTTCATCGTCATCACTTATGTAACAGATTGACACCTCCTTTACCCTTCCATTCACAGTCGTCTCATCTTCCTCAGACATCCTTCCCTGTAGCCTGTCACTGCTACCTCAGCATGGCCACACTGCACACTCCTACAAGGAGAAGGACAGATGAGTGACCTTTGAACATTACAGTTAAAGACATCACATTTCTTCATTGTTTTTATCCCACTGCCAACAAACAAAAGAAATTAGAAGCACACTTGGAAGAAAGTGACCATTTAATGATGATGTAGTGTCTACTGAACAGGTAGACACTACATAGTGCAGATGTCACCGGACATTTGGACTATGTACACCTCTGTGGACATGGGAATTAGAACTTTACTTGAGATGCTTTTAAAGCACCCCCTCAGAGCAGCAACAGCAGCAGCAGCAGGAACAGCAGCAGCAGGAACAGCAGCAGCAGGAAACAGCACAACACGAAGCACA